CGATTCAAGCACTACCCAATTCATATGCTAACTGCATGATCACTGGGTGTAGCAAAATCGTTCGTGCTGTACATTCATACACTACGGCTATCTTTAGGCCACATGGCGATTACAACCACTACATCAAAAGAGCACAACACGTCCATGGCAATTTAGGTCAGACCATCAGACATTACTCGTCTCCGAACATTTGAACGATACGCAGAGAAGTTTTTGGCTGAAAAACAGTGATCGAGAATACTGTACTATTGGGAAACACATCCTCAAACCTCTGGAGGGAGCGTTTCCATATCTCGGCTCGGGACACGACCTCGACTCGAGATTCTAGAGGAAACTCTACTACTACTACTACTACTACTACTACTACTACTACTACTACTACTACTACTACTACTACTACTACTACTACTACTACTACTACTACTACTACCACTACTACTACTACTACTACTACTACTACTACTACTACTACCAACCCCATCGCTCCCAAGCCCATCCCTTATTACCTCAGCAGCTCAACTTTCATCTCCTTATCAGGAACACAGCAGTCCTCCAGTATTTGTTCCATCATCCTCTTGGTCTGCCCATATGGATTAATCGGTCCCAAAGGCCAGTCCTCAGTCAGGGGCTTCTCACTGGCCTATGAACAAATACTTCACACCGCAAGAACCGTTCTCAAACTTGCCTGATACACCGTAGCACTGCTCGAAAAGACAACTTTCTTGCAGTTGTATTTCAGCATAGCTTCCAGCATAGTGATGGTCCCTCCAATGTTATTACGGTAGTACATCAGAGGCTTCTCAACGCTCTCACCAACCGCTTTGAACGCCGCGAAGTGGATGACACAATCGAACTTCTCATCCCGGAACAGCTTCTCCATAGCATCAACATCACCAACGTCCGCGTTGAAAAAAGGCACGTCTACCCCTGTAATGGTCTTAAGGCGATTCAATACCTCCCCCGAAGAATTCGACAGGTTATCCACAATAGCACACTGAAAGAGACATAATTCTCCGCGACCATACTTAGAATATTCCCACATCATATCCTGCCTCAAGTAGCATCACGATGGTATGCGAACCAATGTAGCCCATTCCGCCGGTACATAGAACTCTACCCTTACAAGATTTACCTGTCATAATACTAAGTAGGGAGCTGACAAATTAACGATCATCAACATATGAATGACAGTAGATTTCATAACACCTGACTTTTCACTGCGGAAGACATCCAAACCAACCACTAGATTCATTTTAATTCATATAAACTCAACAACTCTGGCTCAGTTGTGACAGTATGCATAATACCTCTGGCGAGATACCTTAGGAATTGCTAGAAACGGCAACAAAGTTATAACTATTTGGTAGTAGTAGGTCCACACTGAACATGATAAAGGTATGATAATGAGCCTAGCATGGTGGGGAGCACTGACTGAGTACAGTCTACTCAGCCTCCTCCTTAGGAGCCTCCTTATCGTAACCATAGGGATTCTCGCTCTGCCACCTCCAGGAGTCCTCCATAACAGTCTTCATATCACGAGTGGCTACCCATCCCAACTCCTTTTCGGCCAGAGCAGGGTTGCAGATAACACTGCCGAGATCACCGGCCCGACGAGCAACGACTTTATAAGGAATCTTCTTCCCTGAAGCTTCCTCGAGACCGTGAATCATCTCAAGCACGCTAGCACCACGTCCAGTGCCGAGATTGTGAATGTGGGTGCCGTGGATATCATCACGTAGTAGGTAGGTGACGGCCTTGACATGAGCATCAGCCAAATCCATAACATGAATATAATCACGGACACCAGTTCCATCAGGAGTGTCATAGTCGTTACCGAAGACGTTGACACAAGGGCGACGACCGACAGCAACCTGCTGTACATAGGGCATCAGATTGTTAGGGCGACCATTGGGTGATTCGCCGATGAGGCCGGACGGATGAGCACCAACAGGGTTAAAGTAACGGAGAAGCTCAACCTTCATCTCCTTATCAGCAACGCAGACATCCTCCATGATTTGCTCCGTCATAAGCTTTGTCTGTCCATAGGGGTTAATAGGCCCAAGGGCATCAGTCTCGACAAGGGGCCTCTCCTGGGGCTGGTACACAGTAGCACTGCTAGAGAAAACGACTCTCTTGCAATTGTTGTTGACCATGGCCTGCATGAGGTTGATGGTACCAGTGATGTTATCATAGTAATACATCAGAGGCTTCTCAACACTCTCACCGACGGCCTTGAAACCAGCAAAGTGGATGACGCAGTCGAAATGCTCAGTAGAGAAGAGCTTCTCCATGGCCTCAGCATCGCAGCAATCAGCCTTGAAGAAAGGCACGTCAACACCGGTGACGGTCTTCAGACGCTCGAGGACGATCGGGTTGGAATTGGACAGGTTATCAAGGATAGCGCACTGAGAAGAATAAAAGATATGCGGTGGTGAAGACTGAAGAGGAAGCTGGGGGTACATCATATCCAGCCTTGAGGAGTTGGACGATGGTATGCGAGCCAATGTAACCCATGCCACCAGTGCATAGGACGCGAGCCTTGGTGCTTGCAGAGACGGCCATTATAGAAACTAGTTGAGATGAAAGCACTGAAAGGCAATAGGATGAATCCTAGACACGAAGCGCCGACCGATTCTGTGTAGATCAACGTGGCTGCTTATGAGAAATTGATAGGTTTTTTAGGAGGGATTCAAACTCATCAAAATGCTTTAGTTCAGAATGCCGTCAAATGGACGCTGTGAACTACCAGTGTAACTGCACATTATCGTACATGGAGTGTACGACGAATGCGCTAAGCCTAGCAGACGACAAGCTGTGGCCGGGATGCGATTTTCCAGATTCGGCAAGGCGGAGCGAAGTTATACTAAGATGCAACTACCGACCGAATCATAGCAACTTAGTAATGATCATTCTAATCAAGTTGTGGAGTAGAAAATCAGCACACGTGTCGATTGTGAGTGAACGTGATTCGCTCCCCTAACCCTTGTTGTGGGTCCAGTTTGCCTTCACCCTTGTTATCTCATCGAACCTTTGCCTTCCTCATTATACCGAATGAGCCCAATATCGATTACTGTGCTGCTAAGTGTGTGCATCCGTACAGAACTCAAGTGCAGCTAGTGCGCTTATTGTTATTGTCCTAGGGTCGTAGTATTGGTTGCTCTAGCTCGGGTTCCCTTGTTGTTTTGCTCTTAGAGTTCATACACTGAAACCCCGACACCCTTCGAGTAATGACATTGTTCACGTCGGTTGATGCGAGCTGGACATAAACTCAGCCAAACTCAACAGTTTTAGGATACTGACTAGGCCCCGACAAAATTCATAATATAATATGTTCTCTACCTTCATCGAGTTATAGAGTATATACTTGTGCAAGAATAAATACCACTATAGGTCTCAAGAGCATGAGCTTAAGACAAGTGGCTAGTGATACGGTAGCGAGACGTAGTTTCGACGGTGCCATCGGCGACGCAACAAAACTAGTCCAACACATAGCAAGAGTAAGATTGAAAATAATAAGCAGCCGACTGTGAGTTCAGAGAAGACCTGTGTTGTAAACGGTAATGAAAAATGATTCGTAGAATCGGTTATCAGTTCACCGACAACAACAGCATGACTCTCACCAAATGCCCAATTCTTCGGAACACGCTTTAGATTTAGAATGTCCGTCCCGGCTGGCATCTTCCCATAAAGGCCTTCAGAACGTCCGTCAAGTTATGCGGCAGATTAACGTTAACCTCACCGTTCACCAAGCCTTCACCACTGGAAGGAGACTGACTGTAGGACACACTTCAGGTACGCGCGAACGCAAGAGTCAGCATTAGCTGTCGAGCAATGGCAGTCTCCGACGTCCTCATCCAACACCAAATAGATGTCAGTAAAGCATGCCTGCTTCTGGTAGACCGACGTAATTCTCAACTGTTTGAAGTCACATCCAGGGAATTCATTTTCGGGATGATCTGTGGTGCCCTTCTCACCAAAGTACTTCAGTTCGAAACCTTCGGGGACGTGAGGCTTCACCAGACCGGCGATATTAGTAGCATTAGAATCACTTCTTTTCATAACGGTGACACACTGTGATTGTGAAATGCCCGTGTCACCATCGGTGTCCCACGGGATCTGCCCGCCACCGTGACGCTGCCAGCCCAGCAAACTGCCAGCTAGCAAGAAGGCGTCAACGCCCACAGCCTCGAATGCACGCGTTGCAACTTCGGTTGTTTTCTGAATACACATGAGTCTATTGCGATGCTCAGAAGGGGAACTCCAAAGATGATATGATAATAGATCGTCGTTGCTCATACAAGCTGATCGCTCGATATAAACTGTCTGCTTGGGCCAGTCCACACCATCAAGGGCATTGCCAACAACGTTTAGTGGACACAGGTAGAGCCGATCGAGTGGTGCAGTAGGAATGCGTTCTCGAGAGTCGACCTTGATCATAGGCATGGGAAGCTCTACAAAGAAGTGACCTGAGGAAAGTCAACTGCCTTTCCCTGATCTCAAATAAAAACATCTAGACGAAATCAAAGCAGTTATGATTAACATTGATTTTGTATTCTCACAAAAAAAGCTAAAACATGATCTCGTGAGGCGTACATGAACCACGATGAAAAGAGATGTCATATGATGATACGCAGTAACTACACCCTACTACATTCCCGTTTTAAATGCCAAAACAGTGTGGGAATATATGCACATAGTCAACTACATTCATGTGTTTATAAGAACGTAGAAACTTTATTAAACTATTGTTGCTCTTGTACACTTCTACCCACTATCTCCAATAGTGGGAGAAGTGTACAAGAGTACACTTGTAACTCTAGGCTTGTAACTCTACAAGAGTTACAAGGAGGACCTTAGAAACTCCTAAGGTCAACTAAATACGGTTAGTTACAAGAGCTATAGTTATCTCCTATCTCCAACTATCCAATAATTGGAGGAATATATATGTTCGCTTTCGCCACCAATTGTAGAAGTTTACATACGAATTCAGGTAGAAATCTACAGCAACCAACGAAACTTTTCCTCAGAACTTCCACAAATGTCACCAACACATATAGGTGACCATATGCATATTTTCCCACACCACTTCTATCCAAACTCGAGCGCGAGTTTTCAGAATGTAGTGGAGTTTCACCACCCTAGTGATATGAAAAACACATTTCACGACTACTGCATATCACCGCGAATAAAATCGCGGAGTTTGACGCCACTTAACGTAAAACGGGTAGTCGTGAAACTCCAGTGAATAAACTCACGAGCTCAGTTGAGAAAACCAAAACACATATTACCCCACTGCGCCAGAGAAACTTCTGAGTCTGAGTCGAATCGCTACGCTTCAACTCCTCCACCAAGGAGCGTATTTTTTCTCAGGAAAATTCAAAAAATTCTATAAAATCAAAACTTTCATTTTCAGCAGTTGCACTAGCCACCTCTGAATTGGCATTCACACAAGTCGTCTGAAATGCGGATAAGCCCTGATTAATGATGGCAAGCCTGTCAAGATGATAGCGGTACTAACAGAGTAGGAAGGCTCGGAATAATATGGCCAGATGAGTGATGGAAGGGGAATGCCTACTCCGCACCGACGGCTATGATGAACAATCAATTATACAACAAAAGGGAACCCCAGGACGATCAAATACGACTTCGGAAAAATCATCGCACCTTGGCAAAACCATTAAGGCGTCTTCGACGGTTATAAACCAAAAAGTATATCAAACCACCGCACAAAATGATCGCGGCACTCACGGTGGTTACAGATTCGTATAAACGGGGGCGATCAATGGTTACTCGGTCTTGAAAACTGTGGTCAAGTTCGTCACCAACAACAACCGCCCAGTAGTCCTCGAAAACGTAATTTTGAGGCACATCTTGCATATTCATAATGCCGAAATGACCATTGTATAATGCAGATAGCACTTCTTCCGCGTGCGCTGGTATCTTTACAGGATAGCTCTCGAGAATTGACGCGTTTCTCAACGGGAAAATGTCATCTTTACCAATACAAGCCTCACGAGGCACGCAGAGTTGATTGTTGTCGTCGTCGTCAGTACTCAGGAAAAATATATCAGCATGACACCACTGACCGTCAACTGTAGATCCGATGCGCAGCTCGGGAACGTCGCAAGCAACAGATTCAATACCTTCGCAATTATCATGAACTTTCTCGTCAATGTCAATGGCATACAGGGAAAAGTCGTTTGGGAGGTTCTCCTTGAGGACATCGCAAATTGCTTTCCCCTCGTATTTTTTACTAACAACTTCTTCACACTGTGAGCGTGTCACCGCAGTGTCACCATCCAGATCCCAAGGAATTTGACCACCATCATGTCTGAACCACCCGAGCAGACTGCCGTGCATCAAGAAGGCGTCAAAACCGAGCTTGTCCAGAAACTCAGTGGTGAATGCCGTAACCTTCGCCACACATGCCAGCCGCTTCGCGTTATCAATTTCAACCTGGCGAGCTCTCTGACATCGTCTCGCGTCAATGTGAAGATCTTTATTTGGCCACGCTGAGATCTCTCGAAAATACGATATGGTGTACTTGGGACAAAGAAAAATGTTGTCAATTTCGACACGTAGTGGCTCGGCGACGTCCCACACGTGGATGACCTGAGGTCGGTCTTCCACGAGGGTCATGAATGGAGTCGAAAGGAGCCATGGAAAATTCATGACTAAAGAAGTTCAAAAAATATGAAAAAAATCATCAATTTTGATGATACCGAAATTTTGATGTTTTATATACTTAAATAGAGATTTACACGTAATTGCAAGTAATAATATAATACTATCTGAAAATTTAAAAAATGGAAAAATCGTTAACACGTTTTAGTCGGATGATACAGTGCAAAGAGTTAGCAAAGCGAATTCAACCAACCAACAGTGCTATTTTCCTGAACAATGTTGCAAGCACTGTGTGAGAGATATATTCACATGGTCAACTGATGACGATAAGAAAATTCTGGGAGGAAATGTCCGCCGGTTTTTATATACTCCCATCATCTCGAGTTGGATTGTACTCAACAACCTCGCCCGCCCGAAAGTTTTGATATATCACTCATCAATTCAGAAGCATGTCGTAGATGGATGACAAGTCTCAATAATGGCGTATCATGAACTATACCGCTCCGCTGGTCGCCGTTTCGGATATTCCAAGATACTCCTAAGATACGCCCATCACATTCTCTATGTGTGAACCTAAGTATATCCTAGTGACTATTATCTGTAATCACTATGGCATCAGTGATGCCGCATCACCAATCAACGAGTTGCATCCAGAGAGTGAGCGGGATATTCTCACAATGATCAATAATGGCTTCTTTAAGTAAGGAGCGTAAGGAATTCCTATTTTTAAGGTGCGCCTTAAGGAGCAGTTCCTAAGAGAAGTGCCGTGTAACACACTATCTACCGGTTCATACTGCAGGCTCAGACAGCAGTGACTGAGCCTGCAGCTGTACCTCTATACTGGCTATTACTCGCCTGCTAGAATAAGTGCTGCGCAAGAAGAGGAAGAAGAAGTTCCTAATAATTACAGACCCAATAAGCATATCTCATACCTGAACCACTCGAGTTAACTATGTCCGCTCCCGAAGAGGAGTATAGGGTGTTATTCAAATCACGTAGAAAGGAAAGCAAGCATATACTCTCAAACTGTTCTCGCAACAAGGAGAACACACTTGTGACAACAGTGTCTTCACTAACCTCAAACTTCCACAGATAATTATGTAATTCACCCATCGAGTGTAAATAGATAGGATAATTCACTGGTCAGGTAGAGACCGCAATAGGTCCAATTAGAAAACTTATATATTCACGATCGTTACGGTCTGCAATAACGAGCAATAATATATTATAAAACAATCACGTTCGTCTACTCTGAGGTCGCAGACATCGTCCCTGGCGAGTCTTGATAATGTGGTGACACCCCAAATGCTCGATTTTCACCTCGTGTCACCCTCAGCGTTGCGCCCATATAATCGATTATTATTTTTTAAGCGCATTCCTGTCTCCTGTCCTCGCACGAGACTTCAACGTTACAACAACTAAGTAGAATCGCTAATGGCAACGATTTCATCGGTGCCTCCTTTAAAGTTGCCACTACTGTGCTTGAGAAAGGGACAACAAGGTGAGTTCATTGGGTGAGTTGCCCTCCCCAATGGTTTGATATATGCATTTTATTCTCTACGGAGAACCTTGTACTAGGAATCACCAGTGTTGGTGGAGTAGGAATATATGTTGACCATATATATATTTTCCCCCGCACACTACGAAGCACTGTGATGATGTTGATCATGTTGAACTTATGCTCTTTAGATGAACGCCGCGTTAACACAACCAGAGAAGTCTACGGTAGGATGGCCAGTCCTAGGTAGCGATCAACTTGATGTCATTTTAATACAAGTGTGAAGTCCCTTCAGAACCCCTACTAATCGCATCAGAGACAGATGTGTTGTTTTTCCCGGGGTAAAAACGTTCAGTGTCGATGTGCATGCGTGCAACTTTCATTTCAGATCTCTCCTAGGGAACAAAGAACTCTCTATTTTCCCGTCACTGCTCGTCAAGAATCCAAAAGTGAGTTCTTTTCATTCTTGCGCCACCGAAATTTCAATCGCAGTGTGGGGGAAATATGCACGCGATCAAGCAGATGTGTTAGCGACAATATAAAAATTCTGGGAGGAAATTCCGAAAAATTTATGTTGTTTCCTAAACACTTCTACTACCCGAATTGGTGAATAAACTCCTATAATGTGTAAGTAGACTCCACCGCTCAACTGAGGAAAGCGAACATATATTTCCACACTGCTAAATCTTGTTCAGATCACACCTCGTCGTGGGGCGATGGACCCAGCGAAACCGGTTGCCTCAAATTACGTAGAACTCCTCGCAAGGTAAGTAGCAACTCTTTTATGCAACTACTCTACATAACAGTTTGGTTTACACTGTATATATATGTGAATATAGAAATCAGGCCTTCGCGACGAAGGGGCGAAGTTCGACTAGTCTGCATTTTTCATTTGAGATGTTCGGAAAAAATGATCGTTGTGTAGATTTGACGATCAAAAGTGATTTTCAATCGCGCTCGTCATGGTATGGTCATTTGCTAGTCATAGATCTCGAATAGTGCACTAAGCTCGAACCTGAAGTTAGTCCCCGGATGGAAATTTTCCGTAAAAAAATGTTTTCGCACATATTTTTGCAGCTCTGGGAGTAGTCGAGTTTTTCGATTTTTCTGCCAACCTCCGGGCATAGAGGACTCGTTCGATTCATCTGATGTCCTCGGACGGTCCGTAGTGCAGTCAAAATAATTCAGCACGCACGCACGCACGCATGCACAACGCGAAGGTGCCTGTTGTTGCGGGATATGCTCCGCTCGCTTCGCTCGCTCCGCAATTGCATGCAAAATTTTTTTACTCATTATGCGTATATGAGAAAAAAAAGGCGATTTCATGCAAAATCGTTCAGCAACCAACTCTTCTATGTTCAGCAGCGTTAAATTATCATATAATATTAAATAAAAATACTTATAAATAATCCTTAATATTAGTATATCAATAAATGATTGATAATATATAATATATAATATTCATAATAATATAATATATAAATAATGTAAACCTTACTATTGCTACTACTGTAGGTTCGCAACGGCGTCGTGACCATTTTCCAAGATTTCTATGATCACCCGCGAATGCCATTTAAGATGAAGTACGACGCGCGTAAAACTGTACAGTAAGAACCATCTCGAGACGATGAATTTTAGGAGTGGTAATTTTGTTATTTTTTTTCGAGGTGGAAGGTGCCTCCTGATACTGTGGACTACCCCATAGTACTTCCTATTTTCATTGAAGGTCTCAGAGAAGTTCTCCCGATGTGAGTTTTGAATAATCGTTCTTGCTCGTGAACGACGGTATTACCGTTAGTCGTGTTGTTGGAGTAGGAATATATGTAATCGCTTTCCTCAGCACCTGAGCTCAGGAGTTTCCTATACAGTGTTGGAGTAGGAATATATGTAATCGCTTTCCTCAGCACCTGAGCTCAGGAGTTTCCTACACAGTGTTGGAGTAGGAATATATGTAATCGCTTTCCTCAGCACCTGAGCTCAGGAGTTTCCTATACAGTGTTGGAGTAGGAATATATGTAGTCGCTTTCCTCAGCACCTGAGCTCAGGAGTTTCCAAAGCTGATTCTACACGAATTAGAGTAGAAGTGTGCAGAAACTGACCAGAATTTTCTAAAATTTCCTCCCAAAATTTTCATATTGTCACCAACACATGTGCGTATTTTCCCGTAAATTGTCAATGTTTTTTGTATATCAGGAGACGATATGGACTACAGACTAGGAAGAAATATCGGGGCTTTGATAGACGAGACTTTGGGAGTGCTGGAAAAACATGGAGGAGAGGACGTGAGTCATCATAGAGAATTTGGGGGGGATTCCGATAAGAAATTAATGAAGAAATAAACCCGTGTAGTGTTATGTTTAAATGATGAGCTCTGTTGAAGTGTGGGAGAGAAAGTATATATATTGTAACTACATGTGAATTGATGAAAATGTGGACATTTGTGAAAATTTTGGGAAATTTTGGGAAATTTTCGGAAAATTTCGGAAAATTTTTGTTGGTCTTTGTACATTTATATGGTATGAATGTACAGAAATAAAGATATACATTCGGTCTCTTCAGCTGAGCTCAGGAGTTTCGTGGCACGTTAAAGAGATTCCTACGCGACTTAGAGTAGAAGCGCAGAAAAACCCAACAAAAATTTCATATAATTTTCATATTGTCATCAACACATTTATGCATATTTTCCCCCCACACTGTTTTCAGGCGTTTATTAATATCAAGTATATGGTCCCGACGTATGAATCTCAAGTGTTGAACTGACAGGTCGGTCATCATCATCACTTTAGCTGTTCGTGTACGTATTGCTACATGCCCTTGTGCGACGATTTATCAACACTTGTAAAAGCCTGGTGTTATCAGTTCCAACAGGGTGGACAGTGCGAACCGAAGAGTTATGCGTATGATTAGATTTTCGAGATGGTTTTATTCCGTTTGATGATATGGTTATGGACTACGTAACGCTTCTAAAACGGTGGTGTCATCAATCGATTCACATTGTTATCATGTTGATATTACTCAAAGTTGACTTTCGACAAACTCCCGAAAATTCAAGGCTAAGTTGAAAATACTACTACTTTGCATAACGATTTGGTTCATCACACTCTATACGATTCGATCTATGATAGCTGAATCTTTTCCAAAAATTTCTTGAAATTTTTTTCTAGTCGGTGAAATTAGCGGAAATTTTTTTGCAAGTACCCTGTTTCAGCTCAGTGTAAGGGAAAAATATGCACATGGTCAACTACCTGTGATAATGCTGAGGAAATTTTGGGAAATTTTTATTGGTTTCTATACGCCTCTATCCGAATTCGTATATAAACCCCTATATGTAGGCTCCTGAGTTGAGGAGAGCACACATATATTCCTACGCTGGCTTTAGCTGCTGCTGATCTGCCTTATTCGTATGCCTCTTTTCGCGAGAGACGAAGACGCTTTTCACGGACATGTGAACGGTGATAAGAACATGCCGGTTGTCGGCGAGGCTGCTGAGATTTTCGATCGCGTTATCGCGATGCTCAAAAGTGAGGTTTCTTGTGTGGAATCGGTTGGCTCCAGAGCGGTGTTGAAATATATACTTGTTTTCCTCAGCTGAGCTCAGAATTGTACGGGTAGAAATGGACGAAAATTTCAATAAAAATTCCTGAAAATTTCCATGTGCATATTTTTTCAGAGTATTTGGAATCGGCAGAGGATCGTGAAGAGAAAGTCATTGACTTTAAAGAGCCGAGGGAGATTGATCAAATCATGCACCGATGTGGTTGTGATCTCTCGCTGGAGGATGGTAGGTGGACTCAGTGGTAGGGTAGCGGACCTATTCTGTATCTTCTGATCTGGACCTATTCTGTATCTTGTGAACTGGACCTATTCTGTATCTTGTGAACTGGACCTATTCTGTATCTTGTGAACTGGACCTATTCTGTATCTTGTGATCTGGACCTATTCTGTATCTTGTGATCTGGACCTATTCTGTATCTTGTGATCTGGACCTATTCTGTATCTTGTGATCTGGACCTATTCTGTATCTTCTGATCTGGACCTATTCTGTATCTTGTGAACTGGGCCTATTCTGTATCTTCTGATCTGGACCTATTCTGTATCTTGTGATCTGTACCTATTCTGTATCTTGTGAACTGGACCTATTCTGTATCTTGTGATCTGGACCTATTCTGTATCTTGTGATCTGGACCTATTCTGTATCTTGTGATCTGGACCTATTCTGTATCTTGTGATCTGTACCTATTCTGTATCTTGTGATCTGGACCTATTCTGTATCTTGTGAACTGGACCTACTCGTATCTTTCTATTCATACCAATGCATCGTTGCATCGTCTATTTCCACTAGGATCTCCTCGTTGGATTTGCGCGCGTATCTTGAAAATCTTCGCTGTGCGCACGGCACATTGGATGTTGGCTTCGGTGTTGCAGGAATATATGTCTGGTTCCCCCATCTGAGCTCGGGAGTATGGGAATTTACACATGTCCTGGGGTAAAAGTATACAAAAACTAACAGGCGTAGTTGACCATGTGCATATTTTCCGGCACTGCTTTCCACACTGGTTTTGCAACTCTTCAGGTAAGCGTGTTGGTGCTGAAGCCATCATTTCAGCATGTGCTGCTACGCTCCGCCTCTCGGCACGCACTGGACATCCTCAATTTTTTAATACACTTTTCGGTCGCTCTGACATCTGTGGTGAGTCGCGCCCTTCCTGAATGGACGACGAGCCAGTCGTGATTTGTTCGAGGTGTGGTAGGAGAGATGCTCACTGTAGCGTGCAACACTAGTGCGTATACGTTTGAGATCGCTCCTGTGTTCGTTATGGTCGAAGCAAGTGTTATCGATAAAACGGTGCAGTTGCTGGGATTCGAACCTGGGACGTCGGAAGGTTAGTCGTGGTGTGTTTCCTACTTAGCTATTGTGTTGGTTAGGCCTCTTCGTCCCGGGTGGGTCCATCGCTAATCTGTACGGGCTTCAACTTGCGCGATTTTTCAAGTTACCTGAGGTTAAACATAAAGGGATATACGCCATCAAAGGAGCGCTCGTGGGGTGATATCTCTCATCAGTGTTGGAATATATGTTTGCTTTCCGAACTAATTATAGAGGTTTATATATGAATTCGGGTAGAAGTGTACAGAAATCAACAATAAATTCCCCAAAATCTCCTCAGAGTTTTCGTAAACACATGCAGATGAGTATGTGCGTATTCCCCCACCCCCACGTTATCTGTCACTTTGTATGTCGCGGGTAGCTGTTGAGCAGTGTTGGAGCAGGAATAATGTATGTTCGCTTTCCTCAGCACCTGAGCTCAGAAGTTTCCTATACAGTGTTGGAGTAGGAATATATGTAATCGCTTTCCTCAGCACCTGAGCTCAGGAGTTTCCTATACAGTGTTGGAGTAGGAATATATGTAATCGCTTTCCTCAGCACCTGAGCTCAGGAGTTTCCTCACTAATTATACTAAGTTTATTCGCGAATATAAGGTAGTAGTGTACAGAAACTAACAAAAATTTCCCAAAATTTCCTCATAATTCTCATATTGTCAACATCACATGTAGTACACTATATGCATATTTCCCCACGCTGCTGTTGAGCAGTTACTGCTCGGAGGCTTCCCACTACTCTTACAAGAAGGCTGCGCATCTCATGGGAATCGGCGAAGACAATATCAAAGAGGTTTTCATCACCTTGAAATTCGACTTTGATTTTTTCGTGCTCTCAGATAGCGATCGACGGTCGTGGAAAAATGGTAGTTGACGAGCTCACGAAGCGAATTGAAGATGATATCGCGGCTGGGCTTCAACCGTTCTTTGTTGGTGCTACTGCAGGGACAACTGTTTGGGGTAGTCCTGTTCATTCGGTGACCACCGAAGTTTTGTTCTGAGGTTCTTTTGATGAGCTCACGAGCTTGAGAGCAGTGTGTGATAAATATGGTTTGTGGTTGCATGTCGACGCGGCCTGGGGTAAGCGGGGAATTTTACAGTGCTAACCGAAGAGTTATGCGTATGTTTAGATTTTCGAGATGGTTTTATTCCATTTGATGGTATGGTTATAGACTACGTAACGCTTATAAAACGTTGGTGTCATCAATCGATTCACATTGTTATCATGTTGATATTACTCAAAGTTGACTTTCGACAAACTCCCTAAAATTGAAGGCTAAGTTGAAAATACTACTACTTTGCATAACGGTTTGGTTCACACTGTAAGTAGTTTAGTTTCTAGAATTAAAAAAATATGCATTATTTTCCGAGATTGATAAGAATCGATCTGAAAATATATCACATGAACAATGTAAACATTGCTATGAACATGTGATGTGATAAAAGTAACCTTTCGAGACTATGATAGCGACAAGTTGTTCACTATCATTAATCCCAGAATAGTAAACACACATTCTTCACATTATATAAGCATCGCGAATATGCAGTTAGTGGTGATAGTAAAATGCTGAAAAAAATCCAAAAAAATTATCAAAAAATTTTAAATTTTTTTATCGGCATAGCAGTTTCTCTGCAGGTGGTGCCGCTTTACTCGCATCGACTGTTACTCGAGACCGCCTCCTGAGAGGAGTCGAAAAAGTCGATTCCTTTTGCTGGAATCCTCACAAAATGGTCAGCAGTTCGCGCGGGCGCTTTCATTTAAGACTGTGTTCAGGTTGGCGTTCCTCTACAGTGCAGTATGATCGTACATAGGAAGGGCCGAGGCCTGGTCGGAAAATTGTTTTTAATGTTTGCTTTCCTCAGCTGAGCTTGCGAGTTTATGAAGCTAATCACTGATCAGTTTACCTACGAATTCTTGTGTAGAGGAACCAATAAGAATTTCTTCCCAAAATTTCCATATTGTCACCAACACATGTAGTTGAGCATGTGCGTGTTTTCCCCTCCTCTCCTCGGAGTTGTTGTTTGTTATTACTTTTCTATAATTGTTTTAGTTACACTCGTGCAACGGCACGCAGGCGCCTTATCTTTTCCAGAAAGAAAAACTCTTCGGCGAAATGGATCGGGGCGATTGGACCATTCAATGTGAGTGATCGTTGAAATACATCTAAACAGTGTTGCGAACCACATGTGCTGAGCTCAGCTGATGAGAGCAAACATATATCATAATACTTCCTCAGGAGTTTTTTCGCTAAGGATATGAGTTTGGTAAAGAAGTGTACAGAAATCGATAAGAATTTACCGAAATTTACGAAAATTTACGAAAATGTGAAGATTACGGGAGGAAATCTTGGGAAATTCCCAGGAGTTTTTGCAGAACCTATAGTTAGTGAGAAAATTCTTCAACTCAGCTGAGGAGAGCGAACATATATTCCATCACTGAAATGTTGCAAGTATCATCATCTAGGTGGCAGACGTCCAGATGCATTCAAGATATGGCTTGCTTGGAAACACATTGGCGACGAGGCTCTGGGTCGTCGTGTTGAATGGGGTAAGCTCCTCATCTCAGACGAGTTGACGTTGGTGTGGTATCAACATTTTTTCAGCGATCGAACTTTCTCGTTATGCTGCTGAGATTATCAACACCAGTACTGGCCGATTTTGTGGCCGTTTCGAGCTGCATCATGAACCCGAATACGCCAATGTTTGTTTTTGGTACCATCTCTTTGTGAAATCATCAACAAGTTGTTTCCTATTGGAGGTACTTGCCGCTTTCGCTGAAGCACTTGAAACCTGCCACAGGCCTTCTTACACAGGAGGAAGCGGCAGCGCTCAGTCAAGTGAGCGCACTGGGGGGAGTATGCACATGGTCAACTACATGTGTTGGTGACAATATGGAAATTTTGAGAGGAAATTCTCGTTGTACTCGAATTCGCGTGCCAAATTGTAGTATAATTAGTGAGAAAACTGCTGAGCTCAGCTGATGATAGCAAACATATATCATAGTACTGCCTCAGCTGAGCTCAGGAGTTTTATCGCTAATTGTAGGAGTTTGGTATAGAAGTGTACAGAAACCGATAAGAATTTCCCGAAATTTACGAAAATTTTTGTCAAATTGTCACCAACACATGTAGTTGATTATTGTGATACATATCGTATGAAAAACGCTCGAGAATAATACTGCGAGTTCGTTGTGGGAATACATGTTTGATTTCCTTACTAATTGCATAAAAATATACTCACGATTTGGGGTGGAAGTATGCAAAAGAAACGATAATTTCCTCCCAGAATTTTCATATTTTTTTAAAACACATGTAGTTGATTATGTGCGTATCTTCCTAAGTTGTGGTGTCTCACAGTGTTGGAGTAGGAATATATGTGTTTGCTTTTCTCTGCTGATTTCAGATGTTTCCAAAGCTAATTATGAAAGTTTATATACGAATTCGGGTAGAAGTTTACCGAAACCGACAAGAATTTCTCAGAATTTCCATATTTTTACCAACACATGTAGTTGACCATGTGCATATTTCCTAGTTCGCGATCTCTTTCATTTCGAAGCCTTTCAGGTGATCCCGTATTGTAAGAGCCGCATGCAGGAGTTGGGCTTGGCAATGATCACGTTCACTGGCGAATACAATTTCTTCAGGTAAGTTTTTTTTCACTACACCGCTCTGCTGTTTCGACTTAGTCGTTTTTAGATGGACTTTTGCTAATCCCAGATCGGTCACTCGCGAGGACGTAGTTGCTGTGCTGAAGGACATAGATGTTGTTGGTTGTCACTTCGTCCCGACCAACTAAGCGACTGCATAGATATCATTTTCTTTGCGTGTTTTCCCATCACCAACGAAAGTGCTCGGTGCATTTCGTTTCCCTTGCTGCCCGTATCGTGCGGAGCAGCCCTTAGAATCATGTTTTCTGGAGTAGTTATTGATGCGTGTTGTTGTGTTAAAGAGTTGGGAGAGCCGCGTGCACATGGTCAACTACATATGAAAGTATGGTCGGATATAAACTTGTATGATTAGTAAAGAAGCTCCCGAGGTCAGCTGAGGAAAGCAAACATATATTTCAGCAAGCACTGGATGGGAAATGACTGCGGGAAGTAACGAGAACATTTAAAGTTTAGTATTCTTAGTCGACTACACCATCAAGTTGGTATCATTGCTATGATGGTATCATCATCATTATTAGTATGATGGTATCATCATCATCATCATTAGTATGGTGGTATCATCATCATCATTAGTATGGTGGTATCATCATCATCATCATCATTAGTATGGTGGTATCATCATCATCATCATCATCATTAGTATGGTGGTATCATCATCATCATTAGTATGGTGGTATCATCATCATCAGTAGTATGGTGGTATCATCATCATCAGTAGTATGGTGGTATCATCATCATCAGTAGTAGTAGTAGACCATTAACTTGAGTATGTAGTAGCCGCTCTGATCGAGAGTAAGGATCATTGTGATGCCGGTGTCCCCATTTGTGCATTAACTGCTAGATTAGTTCATTTACTATACATTTCCTCAAATCACATTCATCGTGTGTGTCAACTATGTCCACAACATCAGATTTCTTGATTTCTGCCAAGTATTTCAATTTGCCCAGTATTGGAGAAATATATGTTCGCTTTCATCACCTGAGCTCAGGAGTTTCCTCACGACATTATGAAAATTTACCCACAAAATTTAGACGAAAATTTTCCAAAAATTATCTAAGAATTTTCATCATTTTTCCACTAGTTATTCTTACTATACTTTCATTCACATGGTGTTCACTCAAACTGTTGATTTCACGTGGAACGGCGAGCATCGGGACGACCTGACAGAAAACCAAAAACCTGTCGAATTCGCTGTAAAATACGACTGCGTAACACAGGAGTTCATCGTGAAGGTGAAAAAATTGGAAAATTTTTCTATGAAATTTTCCTTTTCTTCTCTCTCAGGTTCGAGCTCCGTTTTTCAACGATTGTCGTATTCCTCCTTCTAAAGGGGAAACTGGTTATGGCACTTACGAGCTGTGGAATTATGAAGTTGCTGAAATATTCATCCAGGGAAAAGATTCGCATTATACTGAGGTGAACAGCGTCAAGCGGTGTTGGAGTAGGAATATATGTAATCGATTTCCTCAGCACCTGAGCTCAGGAGTTTCCTATACAGTGTTGGAGTAGGAATATATGTAATCGCTTTCCTCAGCACCTGAGCTCAGGCGTTTCCTATACAGTGTTGGAGTAGGAATATATGTAATCGCTTTTCTCAGCACCTGAGCTCAGGAGTTTCCTATACAGTGTTGGAGTAGGAATATATGTAATCGCTTTCCTCAGCACCTGAGCTCAGGAGTTTCCTATACAGTGTTGGAGTAGGAATATATGTAATCGCTTTCCTCAGCACCTGAGCTCAGGAGTTTCCTATACAGTGTTGGAGTAGGAATATATGTAATCGCTTTCCTCAGCACCTGAGCTCAGGAGTTTCCTATACAGTGTTGGAGTAGGAATATATGTAATCGCTTTCCTCAGCACCTGAGCTCAGGAGTTTCCTATACAGTGTTGGAGTAGGAATATATGTAATCGCTTTCCTCAGCACCTGAGCTCAGAAGAGTTTCCTATACAGTGTTGGAGTAGGAATATATGTAATCGCTTTCCTCAGCAGCTGAGCTCAGGAGTTTCCTATACAGTGTTGGAGTAGGAATATATGTAATCGCTTTCCTCAGCACCTGAGCTCAGGAGTTTCCTATACAGTGTTGGAGTAGGAATATATGTAATCGCTTTCCTCATCTGAGCTCAGGAGTTTCCTATACAGTGTTGGAGTAGGAATATATGTAATCGCTTTCCTCAGCACCTGAGCTCAGGAGTTTCCTATACAGTGTTGGAGTAGGAATATATGTAATCGCTTTCCTCAGCACCTGAGCTCATGAGTTTCCTATACAGTGTTGGAGTAGGAATA